CCGCTCGACAGCATTCACCTACAGTAAGTATGACCAATTTTATAACAAATTTTATATGTACCTAGGTAGGAATCGCTAGGGGCTCAAAAGCGCATTCTAAAAATCTGCAACGATGACATCATAGTTTAGTTCAAAATTCCTCCGTTAACAGCGTTGTAGTAGAGCTGTCAGATCTCCTCTTGAGGGAACACCATTACCGCAACGAACGATACGGAATTCAGTCATCGTCATCTGCCTCGGTGGTGTAGTGGATAGCGTACCGAGCTGATAAACCGAAGATACTGGGTTCGAATCCCGCTGGCAGCACTAACTTTTTGTCAACAATTTGTTTTCATATCAGCAAGTTTGGTTGGTTTGGTTAGGTTATGACAGTTTAAATTTATAATAAAAAAAATATAAAATTGAATGTTAGACATTTATAATTTTATTTTATGAACAAAACTATTTTTTAGATTAGTAAACCTTCATTCGTTTTTTTTCATTATCAGCACGTTTGGTTAGGTTATGACAGTTTAATTTAATAATTGAAACATTTTAAAATTAATTTTATAATCTTTCTTAATTTTATAATTAACTAGGCCTAATAGTTAAGTAAAAATTACGCGTGTGCTCTCTACTACAACGCTGTTAACGGAGGGATTTTGAACTACACTATGATGTCATCGTTGCAGATTTTTAGAATGCGCTTTTGAGCCCCTAGCGATTCCTGTACCTAGGTAATGTTGGCAAGTAGTGTACCTTTACTGAGACAGATTTTCTAAAATATCAATTATGTTAAGTTACCAGTACTGGTAGCCTATGGTTATTTATTTTTATTTATAGATTTTTTTTTATTTTCCCCTCGACCGTGCGCCTCCTAGGCCTATTGGGAAACCCAGCCAACAATTTAGGCTAATTATTTATGTTTAATATGGACGAGGCCTGTTCAAAAAGTATCTGACCTTACTTTTAATCTAGTACCTCATTGAGTTTTTTTTTGCTAACCAAAATGACAGAACGGGTGGAACCGCAAAACTAGGTGATACCCAAGTTTAACAATTCTCTTCAAGACGCTAGGGTGTTACACAACTAAAAGTGTTACAACAGATTTAAAGGCGGAAGAACTTCGGTGGACAGTGATCCTCGTTCTGGGAGACCATCAACAAGTTGAAACATCAATCAAGATTGAGTTTTAGTGATGGAGGATTGACATATTTACTGTTCAAGAGCTAGCTACGGAAGTTGGAATCAATATTGGTTTAGTTCATTCAATTATAATGGAAGATTTGGCTTTGCACAGAGTTGTTGCAAAATTTGACCCAAAGAACTTGACTGATGAACAAAGAGAATTGTGGCTTGAAGTTGCTCAAGACCTGGACATGTATTCAGAATTACCCAAACTATCTCATAAACAGTTATAAATTGTGATGAGTGCATGAGTGAACGGGTATGACCCCGTAACCAATGCGCAGTCTAATCAGTGGAAACACTTAACATCGCTGCGGAAAAAAAGCACGCCAAGTTCAAAGCAAAATCTAAGTCATGCTGACTTGTTTTTTTTTTTACTGCAATGGAGTATTTTAACTGAGTTTTATAGTCATGAGTACGCATCTGAGGGACAAACCATTACTCAAGAAAGAGTAGCCTAGGTCTACTACTTAGAAGTTTTAGGATTCTAAGTACGTGTATACGCGATGCAGTGCGTCCCAAGCGTCCTTTAATTTGTCGGCCACAAACTCTTGGTGGCTTATCAGGACAACGCTCCAGCGCATTCTTCCAATCTGTTCAAAACTTCTTGGTAAATCATAGCAGCATTTTCCAGTGCTTCGCCAGGCCCCCTGAACCGGATGTGGCACCATATGACATCTGGCTGTTCTCTACCTTGGAAATGCTCTCAAAAGCAGAAACTTCAATGAAGAAGGAAGTTGTTGCAATGTTGCAATTATTCTGTTTATTGGTAATCATTCTGGGCAACCACTTGTCAAAAAGCTGTACTCAGAACCCAGGACCCTCTTCACATGCTGGCTGCTGATGTTGGGTAGAAGGCAGGTCAAGCAGGCACTTGCTTTCATCACTGGACATGACCATTTCAGGAAACACCTAGCTACACTATGGGAATCATAACTGAAAACCAGGAGTGTTGGGTTTGCAGCATGTCCGTGAGACTGCAACGCATCATTCTGGATTGCGACAAACTTGGGGTTAGGAGAAGGACTCTTATTTCTTCAAAAGCAGCCAGATGATGAACCAATCGCTAAGTTAACATTGGGCAAATGAGCTTATGGACATGGTCTAGGACACAGTTCTTGGCAAATGGTAAACGGGGCAAACACAATTTAAACCAGTACCTAGTATTTTTTTTTTTTTTTTGGGTGGTGGAAAAATGCATTTAAGCTTACTCACACATGCTCAATGGCCTCTCAGTAGTACTGGATTCCCGCGGGCTCAATATCCGCAGACTACCGGCTACAAAACCCCTTCATCTCCTAGGAAACTAACTTAGCCTGAACTGTTTGACACATTAGCCTACTTCGGGCTAGGCCTTTTAAGGGGAGCACGCTGTGAGATAGGCCACAATGCTAATTATATGGGGTAACAAGCTTCTATATCGGTACCAATATCTCAAAAAATATATGAGATATTGATCTGAAATTTATTTTGATGCTCCTATACATATAAAACAGTATAACCATGCAAAATAATTAATTTATGGCAAATAGTTAGAAAAATATATTATTAAAAAAATTTTATATAAATTTTTTTATTATTTTTTTATGAAAATAAAAATATTTATACCATTTATAATGAAGATAATATTACATAGTTGCATCATTCTACTCAACAATCTAGCAGAAACAACTAGTGAAAATTTCAAGTCTCTACTCATGACGGTTTCCATAGAAACGGTACCTAAACACTAAAAAACAGAAGTTTCGGGAAATTGAACTTAAACACGAACACGAATAGGCCTACACTGTCACTAGTGCACTAGAAAACCTCCTGGCAAGAATTCAACACAGAGACTGTCTTCTAGTTTCCTTTTTGTTAACCTTCTTCTTATTCTTTGCTTTTTATTTTCTTCCTGCACTTCTCTGTCAGCTTTTTTTATTCTCATTTGGTCGATTTTTGTAAGCCTAAACTATATAATAATAGTAAACTTTCCTGGTTTGATTCATACCCGCTCCAAAACATTTGCCTTAGCAATTTATTTCCTCTAAACTTGTGTTTCCCAAACTTTCTAATCATAGGCATTTTGATGAAAAACTAGGCCTAATTTACTTGAAAGTAACGACAAAACTCTAAACTAAACACCAAATGAATAAAATCCCAACAACAACAACAATCAACAATCACTGGGATAGACGACAGATGTAATTTGATGTAAACATTAGGTAAACAAACAAAGTAGAAGGCCAGCAGAAAATCTGTAAATATTCAGTGCTACCAACAGCACAAATGAAATACTCCTTAGTGTTTACTAGTTATACTATATACTAAATTTACTTAGTTAGATGGTTACTATTTGTGTGGAAACAATGAGCATCTCAGGAGAGCACGCTAGTAGGCCTAGCGCCAAACATGTGTAAACATTATTTAATTGTTTTATTTAGCTGAAAATATACAAGTTATGTATATAGTGTTATATATTTTCTTAAACAGCATAAAACGGGCAATAAGTTTAAAGCATTTTCAAAAAATCAATTTTTTTTACCCATCTCACGGCATGCTCCCCTTAACAATGCCACTAGGGCTTACCTTCTTATTTCCTCCGAAAACTAAAGCCGACCAAGAACTGCCAGCTGTTAAGAGAAAACTAAAGCCAATTAACTTAAGTTAGTTCTAAAATGAAAGGGACCACAATTTGACTCTCTGGAAAAGTTAGGGTAAAGTATAAAAGTATTAAAAAGTTTTTAAACTGATTCTTTAAAATAAAAATAGTCTAACTTATTGATGGATTGGTTGTTGGATTGATTTTTACCTAATGTAATAGCATAGCCTATAATCAACTACGTTATGAGCATAAGGGACGGCTGCACTTTACTTGACGTCCTACACTCATTCGATTGTTTTTTCGATTCGATATTTTCATTTGATTGTTTCATTTGATATATCGTTTGGTTAGTTAGGTTAGGTTAACCTTACCTAACTAACCAAACGATATATCGAATGAAGCAATCGATTAATCGATATATCGATCGATATTTTCATTCGAATGAGTGTAGGACGTCAAGTAAAGTGCAGCCTAAGGGACTAAGAGATGGTGCAGCATGGAGAGGAGCCTTAAGTTCAAAAAGACCCAAGTTTTATTTAATTTGTCTGAAAATCAAGGAATGCGGTTTATAAGTGGGTAGACTTCCATATATTTTGGCACAAACAACCGAATTAAAACACTGTATTGATTTTTTGATTGTTTCATTCTATATAGGTAGGGTATTGTTTGGTTAGTTAGGTTAGGCTAACCTTAGCCCTACCTAAGTTAACTAACCAAACTATATAGGCCTATCGAATAATCTAGATATATTAATCGATATTTTCATTCGGTTGTTTGTGCCAACAGATAGGCTACAGAAGTCTACCCTTATAAGTTATTGCAGACATAAGCACTTTGAATCAAAGGAAAACATTTCCCGGGGGATTGGTCCCAAGATTTAAGAGGGCTGAACACTCCATCACCTTTGGGCGCATATAATTTAGTCACAATAGCTTAGGTCTACCTATCTTATTGTAACTTAACACTTTTGCCATAGAAAAAGCCTAGGATGAAGTCAATATTATTGACTTAAGTTTAGGTAGGCTAGGTGCCCACAGTAGACAGGTACCGGTACTACCAAATAAACCTCTCCTAATTGTAAATCTTAGGCCGCCTAGGCCTATTTTGGCATAATGTTCCTTATGTCATTACACTTGCTTAAGTTACCTTATTACATGTGTCCATTAGCCTATATGTTAAGAATAAGATATTATAGTGAAAGCCAACATGCACTGATTATACCTAAGGGTATAATAAAACAAAGTCTTACTGTAGGTCCAGTGTCGGTGTTGAGTGATTGATGATTGTCTTGGTAACAACTTGAGTTCATTTTAAGCTTAAGTAAGCTGGACATTTTCGGAGGCAAACCATACGTTTAACCATTAAAGATTCGAAGTGAATAAAAGTAGGCCTAGGCAAGACAAAATTGGGTGAACAACTTTAAAGATTTTTGCTATAAGTTTTAATCGAAATTTGAACGAACGAATCACACACAATCCAACGACAGTATAAGAAACAGAAAACTTCTTTCAGTGTCTTTCCTGGGTTGCAGGCTGCAGTCTTCCTTGCTTCGCTTGACAATCCAATCTTCAATCAGTTCAATCTTACAAACAACAAGATTTAACAGAAAGAATTAAACAACAAACAGCTGTCAGTTACAGATGATCTGAAGTAATCTTGGAATTGGTGGAAGTAATGGTAATCATAGGAAACGTGCCATCACTATGACGCCGTGTAGTGTCCCGTGAGCCTTGCGGGAACTCGACCCAACAACAAGCTGGTGACCACTGGACCACGGCCACTTAACAAAAATGGACGAGGAATGGAACTGGAAAGTGTGAACGTCATGAAATTGTGACGCAGAGTCTACGTCATAGAGCGTCCCGTGAACCTTGCGGGAACACGACCCGTGGCGACATTGCTGCACTGCTCCTAGCTCCAAGCTCCAGAGCTGCATGTTAATGTTGCAGCTCCCACCCAGACTCAGCCATAGAGCCATTGTGTGTGTATTTTTGGAGTAGACAGCTTCCTTGAAATTTATAAATTGTGATTATTGTGAATAATTTACAACAATCTGAAGAGTTTTCGATTAACAAGTAATGTCAAAGACGGTGGACCTCGAACTGAAAAAGGTTAGGCCTATGATTTGTATTAAAAAAGAGGCTGCACTTTAGTTTCTGTGGTTTCTGTTCTACATTTACTCACATATACTGCATATTTGGTTTGAGGTTAGGTTTATTTAGTTAGGCCTAAGTGGTGGGCATCATGAATGAAAATAACCGAATCAATCGGTTATTGATGCCAAACAGGCTAATTCGGTTATTTTATCCTGATTCAGTTAAATAAGTCTTACCGAGCGATTCGGTGATTTAACAAAAAGTTTGTCTGTTAAATTTATTTTACCCTACGATATTTTTTTACCTTTTAGCGAATTTCCCTATAGGGAAGTAGCTATTACCGTAGGTGGCACGGTAAGACCTAGACCTGGGACCGATTTATTTTTTTCATTTTGATGTCCCCAGAGGCCAAAAACACCATTCGTTCAAATTTTTATATATGTATATATATATACGTCCGTGAACGCGATAACTTGAGTAATTTTGGTCCGATTTTGATGAAATTTGGTTTAAAGGTGTAAAGCGAGATAAACGTGAATGAGTTCGCGAACCAGCATGATCGGACCATGGGAACGGGGCTTTAGGGGGGGGTTTTATGGGGTAAAAATTGGTTTTTCTCACTTTTGACCCTCAAAACACAAAATTTCCCAATTTCTTTTTAGACCTTTTTAAAGACCTTAAAAAAACAAATAATTTAGTATATAAAAGTATTTTTGTTCGATTATTAGTAACGGAGAAAATTAAAAAAATTTTAAATTTAAAATTCCCATGTTATTCTTATGGAGAATATTGTCAAATGTTGTAATTTGCTTGTTTATGGATATATTTTGATCAAACTTGGCAAATTTATTTATTTTGTACTAAGCTATCAATATTTTACTCAAAAACACACTTTATTAGGTTTCTTGTAGCAGCAAACCTAGGTACTCGTCAAACCTAATGTTATTAAAATATATTTAATTGAAAATCAATTCAGACAAATGGAAATTCGCTTAGTCGGCAGGTTTGCTGCGGCGGGGGTATTTGATGTTATAGGCTTGGCCTACCTATAAATTATTACAAACTGATATTTTTAACCCAAAAATTGTTACACTAAAATACTTTAAGTTATTACTTTTATAAATAAGTTTACTGGGTGGGCCTATTGACTAAATGTTAAGTTATTTGGTTTATCATCACATCATCAGGTAAAATTAAGTTGTTGTTTGGAATAGTGAATAATAACTAAAATTGATTCAGCGATTCATTCGACGAAAAATCACCGATTGACGATAAATGATTGCTAACTTATTCAGTTTCTCATAAGAAAAAAATAGTTGTGGTTTGGGACAGTAATGACTAAAATTGATTCGGCGATTCAATCAACTAAAAATAACATGATGGTTGGCCTCTGGATCGTTAAAGTTAGCACTAATAAGGTTTAAATTACCTGGCTTCTGTCTCCGATCCTGGTGTAATTTGTCGCGACTTATCCATCACCGGCGCCGCATCACGTTTCGCAGTCGTTCTTTAAATAATGTTTAACTTAAATGTTTCGTGTGTGTAAATGTCTACATGTTTTTTGTAAAACCATGAGGAACTCAACACTGAGGAATGTTTTATAAAGGAGCTGGCGTTCAACAAACCTGAAGATGTGCCAGTAATAGGCATGAAACGGCTTTAGTTTCATAAAACTACCGAGGATCGGAGACAGAAGCCAGGTAATTTAAACCTTATTAGTGCTAAAAATAACAGATTGATTATTCGATCATGGAAACCATTCGGTTATCCCACCACTAGGTTTAGTATCAGAACAGTTTCATTTTGGTAAGGTAAATATACCCAGTAGTTGACATCAAGCCAGTACTTGAGTTAGTTGACACTTTACAAATCAAAAACTAATATTAAAAGTTCATGTTAAAGTTCCTTTGTGTTCAATATCTTAAAAAAAACTTCAAATGTTTTCCTTCATTTTCATTGCAACATACCCTTGGTTAGCTATGTGTTTGAAATGTGGTGTAGCTAAAAAGTTCACTCTACCTGTTGGAAGCCTCTCATCTTGTGATTTCTTATGGCTTTGAACAAGGTACAGGGTTGATAAATAACTTTGTTTGAAACATAATTTACCTACTTAAAGTCGGGACCACATAAGTTTGCAGTTGAGGGAGGAGCCTATTTACCACATGGTTTTGAATGGACCAATGAGAACGGTGCGGTGTAGCCAAATCTAATAACTTAATACCAGCTGATTTGAAAATATTGCTTTGTATATTTTAATTATAGTGTTGTCATTGGCGATGTGGCAACGTCGCAATAGCCTTGTCTTGTGATTGACTGCCACCAACTGCAAACTTATGTGGTCCCGACATTTCAGCCTCCTTAGTTTTTTTTTATACCATATAAATATTAATATAATTTCAACTTAGGTACCGGTAGGTAGGCCTACTTTTTTAACTTATGATTAATGGGTAATGATTTCCAGGCTAAAAACACCATTTGTTCAAATTTACACACAGCTTATATATATATATATATATTTATATTAGTAAAAATGAAATAAATAATTAAACAGTTAGTACCCTTTATGTTACTAATTTATTGAATAACTAACATGTTTCAGCTCTTAGGTCATGATCACAGTTATGAACAAATAGTAAATGTTATGAAAAGAAATGTTTAGAAACCAAATTTAACTTACCTACTAGTGGCCCGTAGGGGCCATAGCCCCTAATTTAGACTACAATAAAGAAACCATATATAAAAAGACAAATATTTGAAATATGTTTTGTTAAATTATCAATTTTATGTTACTTAAAATTAACAGTGTTTCTTGTTTTATATCTTGGTTTTCCTTCCGTTGGAGTCGTATATTAGTTGCTTCTGATGTGACAATGAAATACAATTGTAAAATAATGATTAAATCAATAACACAACATATTAACAAATGGAAACGTACACACGGTTGGCCTGAACCCGGAGAACATCTTTTTTAGTTTAAAATTGATGATTTGTTTTGCAATCTTACGAATTCTCTTATAGTTTCCATTTTGAGAACCACATGTAAAGGACAAAATTATTATTAATTATTATGAAGGAAACTCCCCATTTCGCGGTAGTAAGTCAGAAATATATCTATGAATTTGTCCCTGAATGTCAAGACAGTAAGGCCCATTTCCCGGAATCTCTTTTTGTGTAGCGCAAAGCGACGCAAAAGCCATTGTACTGTTATATTGCCTTATGTTTTTTATGAATTTCGAATCATGTAAAAACAGTTATTTTAGTTCGTCATTTACTTGTGGTTGTGGCATGTCCATTGTGGCAACATGCGTTGAAATGTCCATTTGTGGCCTTCTCTGCAAAGTGAAATGCGCCACAATGCATGCAAGTGCTTTAATAGATTGTGAGAAACAACACTCAACTCATTTTCCAGCGTTCTTCTAAAGACAGGTTGTAAAACAGCTTCTGAATTTCTTTCACAGTTAGGCCCTACATGACGTTCTCTTTGGCATTTCTTAAGTCTGTCGAATTCCTGGACACTCTTCCCCGTCTTGCAAGTCTTCCCCTACCCTGTCTAGTTACTTCACTCATTAGTCATTATAAAAACGGAAAACAAAAAAATTAAACACAATTCAATAATTCATTTCGAAACATTATTTACCAACATTGACTTTCGGAATAAATGTAAACATTGCAAATAAATAAGTAACAGCTGATAGAATGCAGACGTTTTTCAGTCCCCATGCATTTCTTATGGTGGATATTTTATGTTTTATCGCGTTTTCTGGTAACTTTATGGGAATTCTGCTATTTTTCCCGAGTCCCTGGGGTCAAGACCTTTAATTTAAGACCCCTCCCACTTTTCTGCGACTTACCAGACGTCCACAATTTTCTGGTAAAAATTTGGTCTTCGAGAATTATATATAAGGATATGGTTTTATTCATCTTAATAATCTGCTACATTTTAAATGATAGAATTAACACAAAATTAAACATTAGGGTACATACATAAACAAAACAGCTGAAGAAATATTTGACAGTACAATAGAAATCATATTATAACATTCACCCCATCTTTTTTTTTATGTAGCCTAATCCCTTAGATAGGTGGGATGTCTTCGGACTCTATTGAAACGACGCAGGTTTGTTTCTTTGTTATTCCTCACAGAAGTAGGGGTCACGGCCTCATGCAGAGGGGATGCTTCGATTTCAGATTGAATAGAGTTCCCAATTTCAGGTTGAAGCAGGTTAGATTAACATCTCAGGTCTTGAAGTAAGGGATCTAGTTCTTGACTGGGATTTTCCGAAGTCACATACTCATCCTCTTGTTGGATAGCTTCAGTGGGAATAGCGAGATGTCGCACCGATACCAGAGCCTCTCTACCATCTCTATATTTGATGCGAGCATAGTCTGGATTAGCCTCTATCAGCTGAGCTTGTTTCACTAAAGGTTCATATTTATTATTTCTTACATGCCTTTCTCACTAATACTGGTCCTGGATTCATGAGCCATTGAGGTTGAGAGGTGCCATAAAATGATCGTCTCTGGTGTTTGAAAAGACGTTCATGTGGTGTGTCTCATTCGTAGCTGTACATAGTAACGAGCGTATACAATGCAAAGTTTCGGGCAAAACATACTCCCACTGTTCTGTCTTCAGACCCTTGTTTCTCAGAACAAGAGATACAGTCTTTCAAATCGTTCCATTATATCGCTCAGCTTGAGAATTACCTCGAGGGCTATAAAGGTTAAAATCGGCTAGTGGCGATTCTTTTGAGTGTAAGAAATCACTCAGTTCTTTTGACATGAAAGCAGAACCTTGGTCGGAGTGGACAAACGCAGGCATACCAAAGATAGTGAAGATTGATGTAAGTGCTTTGATGACAGAAGATGCTTATGTGTCTGAGCAAGGAATATCAAACGGATAACTTGAAAACTCATCAACAACCGTCAGTAGGCCTATATATTTATTCCTTGTCACATTGGCCCCTTAAAATCAATGTTAAGTCTCTTGAAAGGAGCCATTGCATGGATGAGTGTTGATGGGGTTTTTTGGTAGAACCGAGGTTTCACTTCCGCACAAACAGAGCCTGAAGCGGTCATTCGCCTGACATCTTCGATAGAGTAAGGGAGATTTTTACTTTTTAAGAAATGTTCTATTCCAGGATGTCCAATGTCACAATGAATTCTACGGAGTTTTTCGGAATCTCTACAAGAGATGGAAGATGAAACTCGTGAAAATGCATCTGCTACTACATTTTCCTTGCCAGAACGGTACACTATGTCGTAAGAGAAAGGTGCTAGTTCCAATCGCCACTTTAAAATCTTGTTGTTCTTAACCTTTTGCGCGTGTTTCTGATTGAACATATAGGACACAGATTTCTGGTCTGTAATTAATTTAAACCGTCTTCCAATCAGGAAATGCCACCATTTCTGTATTGAATCGAATAGTGTATTGTGAGGGCCTCTTTTTCCACAGCAGGTAGATGTTGTTCACTCTTAGTTATGGTTCTTGAAAAGAAACATATTTAGCCTTCCAGCTTGTGAAATGGTTTTTATATAAATATTCCAAATTTATATGGTTTTATTCAAATTAATAATCTGCTATATTTTAAATGAGAGAATTAATTATGTTTTCAGGACTTTTTTATGGTTTCTATATATGTAGAATTCTTCTTTAATGAACAATTTGTCTTTGTTTGGTTCAAATTCAATTACTGATAAATTATTATCTACGTTTTGATATTTATGATTAGTTTTTAGTAAGTGTTCTGCATAGTTTGATTTCATACTTGTTGAATTTTTAGACTTAAATGCCTGTATATGGAATCTTGGTATCTTGGAATCTACATTTAAAGCTTCTACTAGTTTGGCCAATATAATACTTGTTACAGTCTGTAAAGGAAATTTTTTAAATGCCGCTTTTGTTAAATTTCGATGATTCTTAGTTATTTGTTGATGTTTGGAAACTTTTGAATTTATAATCTTAAAGACGTTGTTTTTTGTTCTATATGTTGCTTTGTAATTTGTTTTAGATAAGGCTTTCCTTATTGCTTTATTTAATTTAGAGTTATGAGGGAGATGTAGGCCTACCTACTATTTTTTTTTTCAATTTCTCTTCTTTCTTCTTTTGTTTCTTAATTTTGTTCTTCATCATATTATCAATGAGATTGTCTTTATATTATATCCATTTTTGGCTGCAATATATTTTATTATCTTCTTTTCTTTTTCAAAATTTGTTTTGTTTAGTGGCAATGTAATTAGCCTGTAAATCATAGAATGAAATGCTGCAATTTTTTGTTGCCAAGGGTGGTTTGATGATTATTATGCATTATCATTCAATGCATTATCATTATTATTCACGCAAATTGCTATAAGAATGTGCAATTTGGATAGTTATATCTCACTTCTACTTCCGGCAACAGTCATTTTTAGAATTTTCCAAATTTCTTAACATTAGCTAATAAAATCTCATATTTCTCAACTTTTAACCTACATAATGATATTTTCAATGGCATTTTTAGAATCGTCATTAAATTTTCTATCAAACCACGTATAATATAGTACAGCTAAACCTATTTAAAAGCTTTTAAATTTAACATAAATAACAAATTTTAAAAAATCAATAAAAAGGGTGCTACAACTCGCTTAAGAAAATTTTGAATCAAGACGTGTTAAAAACTGTCAAATAGTATAAAAAACATCTCCACATTTTAAGCTTTAAAATGATATGCAATATGTGACATGTAATGTCAGCCTAAGGGGAGAAATACAGTATTGCATTAAACATAAAAATAATCATTTTTTATTTAAATCCACTCATTAATTACGAGAACGCATTTAGTGAAAGTTGTGTGCAAAAGGTATCTATTGTCGGGACCACGTAAGTTTGCAGTTGAGGGAGGAGCCTATTTACCATATGGTTTTGAATGAACCAATGAGAACCGTGCGGTGTTGCCAAATCTGTTAATACCAGCTGATTTTAATATAATGCTTAGTATATTTTAATTAGTGTTGTCAACGGGCGATGTGGCAACGTCGCACTAGCCTTGTCTTGTGATTGGCTGCCACCAACTGCAAACTTACGTGGTCCCGACAATAGTGAAAGTTGTGTGCAAAAGGTATCTGTATTACCCCAAGTAAACTTGTAAAATTTAATACTGTAGTATAGTACAGCCCAAACTAGTAGTGCTTTGAATGCCTCGTAAAATTAGTGAAATTTATAAATACACACGTTAGTTGTGATTACGAAGATACTGATCATATGTAATTAAGATTATTTCTACTGAACAAATTTTTAACCCTTTGAGGTCGAATTTTTTCCCCATGTCAAGAAATTTGGAAAATTCTAAAAATGGCTGTTGCCGGAAGTAGGAGTGAGATATAACCATCCAAATTGCGTATTTTTATAGAAATGTTTGTGCATAATATTGATTTAAAATATTTGACACTGACTACCAAACACCCTGTATAAATCTGCTAGGCCTAATAAGCCAGAAAGAGGGCTACACATTGCAAGACCATCATTCTGTTTGTAATATTTGTTATTGTATTCAAAGTAATTTTGTTCCAAAGTATTTTTGTGAGATTGATGATGTCTTTTATTTAATTTTGTTTTAGAGATTTGTTTCTTATTAACTCTTCTTGTATGATATTAATTGTTTCTTTCATTGGGATAGGCTATTTGAATACATGTTAACAAAACCGAAGGAAATAAATATTGAATTTTGTGGAATTTGTATGTTTTTTTTATGTTGTTTACCAATTCATATGAGTTTTTGATTTCAAAGTTATGTTTTTAATTTATGTTATTTTTTATTTTATCATTGAGAAATTTACTTCCATTGTATGTTGGTGCCTTTCTGAAGTCGAACACTGGTCTTATAGGAATGTTTGTTTTGTGGGTTTTTGGTCGACCTTGGAGTGTAGGAGATTTTGGATTGTTCATTTTTATGCGAGTTTTAGTTTGTTTTGGAATAGTTTTATATTTTGTAATAGCTTGGTTTATGTTTTTTGAATAATCATTAGTTGGATCTTTTGTCAAGGTGTCAAAGTCATTATTTTGAATGAACTCGGTAATTTTGGAATCATAATCTTGTTTGTTAATGATAACAATTGAATTGCCTTTGTAATAATTGCATTTTTTCTACTAATTTTTTTGATATTGATGATATTATCTTTAGTTCTTGTTTAGATTTGTTAACCATATTCGTTTTTGGAGTTTCTTTCTCTGTTTTATTAAGTTTGTGTATGAAGTTGTGTCTAATTGGTTCTTGCAATTTTACTTGTAATTTTACTTCTAATTGCTGCTTCAATATCTAATAGATCATTTTCGTAGACATTGTCTTTGAAATCTAGGATTATATTGTATCTCTGTGATTTTTCTAGTAGGTTTTTTTCATGATTTGTAAAATTGATATTACTTAGGTTTTGAAGTTCATTACTTAAATTTGTATCATAGATTTTGTTAATCTCTATATTTGTGTTATCTGCTTTTTGAGATTGAATAAGATTTGTAAATATTTTCTTTATTTAGAGTTGCAATTTTCTTTCTATTATTGGGCGAGTCCAGTTAGTTATGTATTGTATTATTTCGTCAATAGCAGAAACTATTGACGAAATAATACAATACATAACTAACTGGACTTTTTTGGTATGGTATGAATAAGAATAAGAATAAGAATATGTTTATTGTCTTTCAGGCTACATAAGCATTAACAAAGTCAAGTTTACAGCAGAAATGCCAAGTCTCTATACTAATAATTAGGCCTAAGGGTAATATCACATATCATAGAAATATACAATTCATAGGAACTATACAAGAATCAAAAATTATACATAACAGATTTCAAACATTAAAATTCTATCTGTTTTAATAAGAAAAATTCACTAAGTGAATAGAAAGGATTTTTAGATAACCACTCATAAAATTTGTTCTTAAAAACTTTAACAGTATATTTCTTACTAAGATTAATTACTTTATTATATACCTTAAGGGATAGTACTACATGACTAGACAGTGATTTGCTGAGCCTATTGTACTCAATTACTGCTTTATCCCTATTACGAGTGTTGTAACTGTGCATATCCCCAGTGAGTGTAACAAGATCCTGATTTTTTAGTATATAAGATACAAGTTCAAAAATATTATGTTTTGATTAGTTCATGGTAAATTTTCTTCTTTTGTTCAATAGTGATTTGTAGTTTGGAATATAGGTAGTTTATTTCTTCTTTTGTCCAAATTTTCCTTGATGTTTCTAATGTTTTTGTTGCGGCTTGAGATTTGCATTTTATGTTAACTTGGACATAATTTGGAATGATGTTTTCTCTCAAACAATTCTTATTAAATTTCAAATTTTTGTTATATATATGTCTATGTGTGTGTGTGTCCGTGAATGCAATAATTTTAGTAATTTTGTCCGATTTTGATGAAATTTGGTTTAAATGTGAAAGGCGGGATAAACTTGAATGAGTTCGTGAACCAGCACGATCGGACCATTGGAACGTGGTTTAATGGGTAAAAATTGGTTTTTCTCATTTTTGGCCCACAAAACACGAATTTTTAATTTTTCTCTAGATTTTTTTAGAGAGCTTAAAAAAACATATAATTTAGCATAAAAAGTGTTTTGTACGGTTATTGGTAACGGAAAAAATTCAAAAAATTGTAAATTTAAAATTCTCATGTTATTCTTATGGAGAATATTTTAAAATGTTGTAGTTTGCTTGTTTATGGATAGCCTATATTTTGATCAAGCTTGGCAATTTTATTTATTTTATACTAAGCTATTAATAGGTATGTTACTTAAAAACACACTTTATTAGTTTCCTTGTAGCAGCAGACCTAGGTACTCGTTAAACCTAATGTTATTTAAAAGATTTAATTGAAAGTCAATTCAGACAAATGGAAATTCGCTTAGTCAGCAGGTTTGCTGCGGCGGGGGTGTTTTATTTTCTATTATACATCTATTCTCTTATCCTCTATGATCATGGTCTCATCAGGAATTTAATATATTTTAGGCATTCACTGAACTTCAGCAAAAGATGATCGAAACCACAACAAAACTACAGCTGGCAGATATCCAGATTGATGGTCTAAAGCGCCAGAAGCACCATGCAGAATTGACGGCCCAAGAAATTAAGGTAAGGCACTTGAGCTCACAGGTTTCATAATCATAACTTTACCATATTTTAAGACATTATTGTGAGGTAGGGCCTATCTATATAACCTATTAAAGAATATTGGTTTTTTTTAGTCTGTTTGGCTCTTCTACCCAACCGATTTCTATAATTTTGGTCTTAAATTAAAGGTATGCATGCACCGATTTGCCATCAAGTATCATCACTCATTTATCTACTGTATTAGGCCTACTCGACCACAAAAACATAAATTTGATTTTTTAGCAAATTTCCCATATTTAGCGAATTTCCCATATAGGGAATAAGCTATTACCGCAGGTCTCATGGTAAGACCTAGACCCGGGACCAATTGACTTTTTCGTTTTAAGGTCCCCAGAGGCTAGGCTACAAGAGTTTTTTTTTTTGCTTAACAATAATTAAATATACCTAAACTTTCTTTTTTCCATTATATTGAATTTTAGCCTCCTGATCACAGTTAAATACTAAATAATGGTGTAAATACCTGCATTTATGTGATCAATTTGTTGCTAAATTGCAACCGGTTTCGACTCACAAAGGAGTCATCGTCGGGCCAGTACAGATGTCTTCTTGCTTCATTTGAAGGTTGTCAATTCATGATAAATAAATACATTTAACACGCACACGTACACGAACATAAAAACAAACATTTAGGGCTAAAACGAAAGATAATACAATACGGTAACGGGACACGACGTGATCGGGCGGGGGTTATGTCTAGACTGCCGGTCAGGATCAGCGTGGTCAGTGATGACGTCGTGCCTGGATTTCCCGATCAGCTGATAACTTCATTCACAACTGTCCCTTGCGCTAGTATCTTGATTGCAGTGTCGTAAATGTAATTTGATTGAAATGAAATCTTGTCATTGTTATTTAGAAATCAGATGTTCTGCTAAGGTCGAGGTCTGTGCCGCTGTAGTTCTTTTTGGTAGATGTTCTTTAAACCTTTTGTTGAAAGAACTGGATGTTTGGCCTATATAATATTTTGGGCAGTCATTACAATTGATTTGGTAACTGTTTTCTCAAAGGTTGCAGAAGGTGTCTTGGGACGATTTTTTAATAAAGAACCAAGTTTATTATCAGTTTTGAACGAAACTGTGATTTTATTGCTGTTCATTATATTTTTAAATTTAGTGTTGAGGAACGAACCATACTTCGCAGAAACATAGGTTTTCTTTTCTTTATTTTCGGTTTTTTTATTTTTATGCTTGGAAATCAGTTTATCAATCAGGTTGCTTTGGAAACCATTGGAAACAGCTATATGTTTGATTGGATTGATTTCTTCGGTATAATCTATTGTGTTCATTGGTATTTCTTTTTTTGTACATAAATGAACTCTTGGCATTAATCTACTTGTGTTTTTGCCATCATCAATACAGAATTCCATTCACCAATTAGATGGATTTATACGTTTCTAATTACATGTTGTATAATTTATAATTTTCAGACTCTATCCCCCGAAACAAAAACGTATGAAAGTGTAGGAAGAATGTTTGTACTGACAGAAATTCCAGTTGTTTGCAAAAACTTGCATGAAAAAATCAGTACATGTGATGAGAAAATAAAGTCTCTTGAGGTAAGCCCTAGAAAATATTTTGTTAAAGAATAGAAAGAGGTCATTGAGTGTTAGGAAGTCTTTTAAATTGCCCAGACTTGCATGAAGTTTTTAAGACAAGCTTTTAAGAAAACTTTCCACCGTTTACAACTATAAGATATTTTTTAGTTAACTTTGTGCTCTGAACCTTTGTTAGCATTAATTTTTTTTTTTTAAATAGCCTAACTTAAATATAGGGTTATTAAAAAAGAATGATGGAAAACTAAACGGTTGGTACCTACGTCTTTTTCCGTGATTTCAAATAGCTGATTGTTACACCAATGGAAATGGAGTGTGTATAAGTTTGTTTTAACAAATGTATGTTTAATCTCAGTTAATTAGTTGAGTACTACAAAGCCTGTCAACAAAATTGAAGAATATCAGCAAGAATCGAAGCTATGATATATGAAATATGTACTTTTTGGCTTGTCAGTGCCCTTTAATGCTTATAATAACTGCGGTTTGAATGGCTTTTGTCTCAAACGCTTGTGTAAACCCGTGGACGGTGGTATATCTTGTTCCCTACCAGCTTTGACTGTCAAGGTTTTTGTTTATGGACTCCGTGCAATCTTGGCTTAAATTTTCTCCACAGCATCTGGCGGAGTCCGAGTTTACAGCATCGCGGACAACGACGATAACGTTTCACGATTTTGCCGCCGGATGTCGACGATGATGTTTCCGTGACCACAGGTGTCAATGATGATGTCTACACGGCTGCGGGAAATGTTCATAATTTTGCCGCGATCGCAGACGACGACGCTGACGTTTCCGAGACCGTTGGAGACAAGGATGACGTTTCCGTGACCGAGGGAGACAGTCAATGATGATGTCTACACGGTCGTGGAAGATTTTCATGATCGTAAAACACCCAAATTGGCTAGTTAGAATTTTTCATTGCTGCATATTTTTACTTGAAAACATCCCTTTATCTTACTAAAACTTAATAACAGAAAGACAGTGGTTAGTTTAATATAACCAAATTATTTCAAAAATGTAACCAACTGTAAAAATTGGTATCGTTATCATTGATCAAGAATCGAGAATCGGTTGGCCTACATTTCGGTATCAATTTATCACTAATAGTTTAAAAAAACTAGTCTTGAAAAATCTGGAATTAGTCTTGAATTTTAAAATGCAAATAAAATTGACACCCTGTGTAATCTATTTGACTATAATTGCGACGTTCCACGATCCCAGTGATGCAATAGGTTTTATTTTTTAACCTCTTAAACAAATCAAACACCTCGAGCAATTCTCGGTCCCCTGGTACTATCCTTTAAGTAAATTTTGTGCAGATTTATAACAGACCCTATAGTGATTTTGTGTTGTTTCAGAGCAACAAGGGCTATTTAGAGCGAAGTTTGAAAGATAGCAAGAACAACTTGAGAGAAATGGTTCAACAGCGCAAAGAGGCTCCTCAGGAAGCCACATAACTAATATTATAAATAGTTTGAGGTTAACAATGTAACAAAGAGCTCAAGGGCATAATTTTTTAGGATTTTTAGTGAGGATAGCAGGCTTACCTGATTGGGAAAGAGTCTAAATGACATAAGAGAACAAAACTTTACCCTATGAACACAAAACATTAGATATTTCAATGTCACTGACACTTTTCAACTAAGGAAGAGAGAGAGATATATTATATTATAGTGTACTTTTTGGCAACATTGTTGCAATAACTTCCTGGTCACCATTAGGCCTCTTTCTTCTTTAGTTGAAAATGCTGTCAGTGACAGTGAAATATTCTAATGTTTTGTGTTTATAGTGTAAAGATGTGTCTTTCTTGTGCCAGTTTGTACAGTTTTCTATTCAGGTAAGCCTGCTATCCTCATTACTAATCCTAATATTATAAATTACTAATCCCTCCTTTAGAAATATTTATTTATTAATAAATTTGTTAACACAACTTTATGATATTTTGTACTGTTTATTGAAATTAAACATTTGCAGTAAAATACTACAGTTTAGTTTATAATTTTAGCATGAGAATGTCTTAACCTGAGAATGAGGACTTAATTTTGTTCGGTTTAATTTATTAACTTAACATAATATCAATCACCTATTTAACCTTTCAACACATTACATACAGTAATATTGTATAAAAAAAGTATAAAATTAAATGTATCATCAAAAAATAAAGTGATTTTTATTTGTTAGCAAAAAACACCTGGGCCATTTAAAAACTGACCTAGTTTTTTAATCTTAATTAATTATTTAAAAAATTTACTCCAGTTGGAAGAGCCTATTAACCCTTCAACAATGTTTGAGGTACCTATGTACTGCCATTTAACGGCAGGGTAGCCTGCATTTACTCGCTGGCGCTTGAGTCAGTGGCAGCTAGCTAGCCCATAAGGACTCTCGGACGCCGCCCTCCCAACAATACATAAATAAATTAAATTTTATCATAGACAATTAGAATTAAATATAGACCGACAGCAGTGCTGCGGTTAGCCTATGTTAGTGTAAGTCCTTCCGTCCCATCTCTCTGACCTCCTTCCTTTTGAAGGCTCTAGAGAAACTCTCTCTTCAGAAGAGAAAATGAGGGAGATGAGATGCAATAGCACTGTTGTGTTACAGGATGTTTTATATGTAGTGAGGTTTAGATGCGTTGTTGGACCTAGCTAGATGTGTACCTATATCAAAGTAAAAACCCTGTACACATTTTTTTTTAATACCTGAATTGCCATTAATACACCTACTTCACCAAAGCCATAGATTAAACATACTCCGTGGTTAGTCTATTCCAAAACTTGAACACAGCTCACATCCTCTACGTACTCATCTACACTTGCACGGTTTTTATTGTATGACACAATTTTCTACCCGATTATCAAAAACTTTTATGCAAAAAATCTCACGAACTTCTGACGTTCTTTCTTGAATGTAATAATAAATGATTATTGAAAGTAGACAGAAAAAGGCAAGTGCCAACCCCTACAATAAATATAAGCCAACCTGATAAGGAATAATTGAATATTCCTTTGAAATTGACATATCCCCCACTGATTTCATATGCACTTTCCTAAGAGTAGACGTTTGAACAAAAAGTTTAATACGTATTAAATTCATCATTTTGTTAATACTATAAAAAAAAAACTTGCCATGCAGTAAAGAATCATTTTTAAAATCATAAATAATAATGTAAATATTTAATTTTCACAGTTGCAGTAAATGCTCATAACACTTGACCATTGAATACAATTATTTAAACTAGTGGTCGTCCAGTGGTCGAAACTCGACCTAAAATATCCAATGTACAGGCTTCTCTATTTTCACCCCACGCTGTAAATAAAACATGTGATTGTAATTTCTTCCATTTGTTTTGATTTTCTGTTTATATTTTGTTGTTATTTCGTCGCCAACATGGCAACCCATAAAGGCCATGTTAATTTTTTTTTAATTTCAAATCAATTTTTTGTGCTTATATTTGAGCCTATTTTAATTTTTAAAGGGATTCTGCACTTCTACAGGAAAATATCTTTCTACAGGTATGCGTAGATTTTCCCTGCGATGCACACGAGCTGAGAAAAAAGGTTTTAAAGAAACATGTTTGCCTATTAATATAAAACTAGTGTACCTGTTGCTTGAATTCGAGCAATTGCGAAGCATTACAGGCGACTCAAAGATTATGGAAATACTCACGATCTACACAACAGTTAGATATAATCAAAATCTTTTGTAAATATCTTATCTTTTTTCAAAAAGCTGATCTTGTTTTTTTAGTGTTTTTAGGGTAAAAAAACATTATTTCTATTTCTTCTACTTGGTTCTGTCCCTCTCATAGCCGCATTAGGTTGTCTATAATAACGATTACAAATGAAAAAAAAAACATTATTATTATATGACTATTTCTATGTTTCCATTGTTTGCAAATCGGTTATTTCAATGATTGCTCAAGAAATGTAGCACAGTGTTCAGTTCAGTTTTATTTTTAGCCTATATCAAATTGTCCAGGATTTCTCGCTCTTTTCCATTGTAATAATTACACCAACCCAAGTTTCGTCTACAGATGCAATATGCCAAAGAATATCACCTACGTACAATCTCCAAGAAGTGGTAAAAAAGGCAGAAACCAACCCATACAATATATATAAGTTAACTCCATAAAAAATAATTTTAAAAGTTACTGTGATATTAGGATTTTCTACTGATTTGGTAATAGAACATTATATTGCAAAACATGACACGATGCAGAAGAAAATCAATTTTAAAATCAGAAAATCCATTGCAAATACTGTACTTTATTTTGACAAATTCAATAAATCACAATTTAAATATTAACAGCTGTTGCATTAACCCTCCGAGCGTCACTTGTCGAAAAATCGACTCACGACACACTTTGTGTAGTGTCACTTGTCGATTTTTCGACACACGAACATCGTTTACGGCGAAGGGTCTATGACTGACTGAATCGGATTGAACTGGATCGAGTTAGGTATCGTTCTTTTTGTTAGATTCAGAGCTTTCTCCGGAGGTCTGTCTCTAAGCGCTATTTATTTTAGTTCCGAAAATATTGTAGCAGACAGCTGACGTGCGTATTTGTAAACAGCTTTGTTAACCTCGGACCGATGACTGATGTGTTTTATTACGTTTATCATTGTTTTAGTGTTAAAAATCAAAAGTAGTGATATACGTGGTGCATTATAAGAAGATTTAAGTGATTTTGAAGGGCTGGTTGATGATCCTGAAGAAGTAGGTAGTGATATTGATGTAAATTATCAGCCAGATTCCTAGCTATGGTTAGGCTATGCATTCTTAGCTAAACGCTATGTACTGAAATCTGTTTTTTGCCCATAACTTATTTATTTGCAAATCTACTTCCTTATATTATTATATATTTGTAATCCTCATAAAATTTAGAACAAAGTGGCTATTTTCAAATATTTATAGGCCTATAACTTATACAATTTCATTGAGCGCGAACTTTTTTTTTTTTTTTTTGAAAATTTTCCAAAATATTTTTTTTTACCTAAAAAATTTTTTTGGAACAAATGTTCCTTATGTTTTATGTATAATATTGAAGCCCATGATTTTCCAAACAAAATGGTATATAGAACAGTAGAATTAACATTGTTTTAAGCTTCTCAGATCCGTTTTAATAAAACCTTGCAAATGCGCCAAAAATAGGCGGACATTAAGGCCTAAACTATGGACACTGGGAGGGTTAAAAAGTAGTGTAGAATTATGCATATGGTCGTAATGTAAACAAATCTGAAGAGGCAAATTTAAAGGCTTCTGGGGCAGAGCTCCAAGGGAATTTACCTCTTTCCTCTTTTGATGGCTCATCTACAGACCAAGACCTTTCTTTAGAGACCCCTACCAAGTTTCTACGCCCAGCCGTTCTCTCAAATTAGCTGTGACAAAAACCCCGTTTTCCTCCATAAGAATAACATGGGATGGGAATTTAAAGGCCACGGGGGCAGTGCCCCAAGGGAATTCACCATGTTTCTCTTTTGATGGCTCATCTACAGACCAAGACCTTTCTTTAGACACCTCTACCGAGTTTCTACGCCCAGCCGTTCTCTCAAATTAGCTGTGACAAAGAAAAACAGTTTCAAATTAATACATAGATAAGCCTAGATTTGACAAGATCCACAGTTTCAGTTAGCCTACAGGTATGTTGGTGTACAGATTTGAAATATCGAATGAGACTAACCTACAGTTTGGTTCTAGATCTATGTTCTTAACACGTTCAACATATTCATAACTGTTCTTTACATTATTATAAATAAACTAGGTGAACCCCGTCGAAATTGACGGTTGCTTTAAAGGCTTACGATAATGCTGCTAACTTCGACAGAGTGAAATTATAAAAAATGTGAGCATTCAGCATAGTTTAATGATGAGTACGGTAATAAGTAAGTGTAGAAACAATAATCTTGACTATTGCGTTATTTAAAAAATATGGTTGATCATTCGATGAATAACATATTTCTCACACCGTCCTTCATAGGTGTTATTGTTCCTATGTTAACTGGTTTCTCTTCTTTTTGATGAATATAATAAAATGAAGAATGCTTTTGGAAGAATCTTTAATTAGTATTAGAATCGTTTTTGTGGATCTTTTGTGGTACACACTTCTGCAATTTCATCAGTGTTATGCAGATTAAATCTGTAAAATCGGTTGAGAAGGCACATTCTTACTTCAATGGGAGGCCCACCCTAAAGATGTCTAAGTTTTATTTTTCCTCTGTCACTTCAGTCTTCATACCGTACTACTGTGCCAATGAATAACCCTATAATTTTAGCAATAATAATTTTTTTAGCATAATTTTGATTCCATGACATGCAGATGTCAGTTGTCTCAGCCTTATCAATTGCATAAAGTGTTCAATATAATCTGTCTTCGGAATGTTAGGTATAGTGGAATATACTTGCAGTGAAGCTGGCTTTTATTCTTGTAATGAGGGACCTCGTTCATATGGTCATGGGACTTCATTGGCAACAAATAATGTAAATGACAAAGCAATGCTGCATTTCCAAAAAGCAAATACTGTAAATTGTTAGGCAAATAGTGACGTTTGCATGCATTGTTGTTAATCAACATATCTTAGAAAGGATGAGGATATCTAGTTCAAAAGGAACATGACTTTTCTGTCATGACAGTAACTGCCCAACTCTAATCTCATGAATCTATGATGATGTGTCCTGAATATGACAAAATATTGGCAAAAGTGGTCAAAAAGGTAGACACCAATTCGTACAATAGATATAAGATCATTTTCCACTGATTCAGGATTTTCCACTGATTTTGTAATGGAACGTTATATTGCAAAACATGAGATGCTGCAGACCAAAATAAATTTTAAAATCAGAAAATAACATTGCAAATAATGCTTATTTTTGACAGACTCAGTAACTTCCTATAATATGTGTTGTTTAAAATACAATTTAAATATTAAAAGCTGTTTCATAAAAAATTAGTAAAAAATTATCCATATGACGATAATGTAAACAAATCTGGGAAGGGAACTTTAAAGGTTTCTGGGGCAGAGCCCTAAGTGAATTTACTTTGTTTTTCTTTTTTTGACTCATCTACAGACCGAGACCTTTCGTGGGACAAGATATCCTATACACGCCGGTCTTATCTATTTTGTCACCTATCTCAGTTTTATTCGTCAACACGTTTTTA